CTTTTTACTCAACCTAATATGTAATAATAAAAAATAATAATAAATATACAGGGTATTAGTTGAGTATGTTGCCATACTCAACAGAGCGATTCTTTGGTTTATTTCGAGTAAAAAAGTCCATATAAACATGTGTCATAAACGGCTTAGTTTCCGAAATAAAAAAATTTATGGCAACATATTTACCTAATACCCTGTATTTATTAATGTATTTCATAAACGATAATCCTCAATAATTAATTAAATTTTCGATAATTAAGATAATTAAGTCACATCAAAATTTCCATTAAAATAATATTCATTTAAAACACTCCAAAACGTCATATCTCCTAACCAACTCAAACCACCAAGAGCTTAATTTAGTAGATCCGTGAATATTCAATCAGTAACGTCATAATTAAAGCCGTACTTCCATTTCGCTAATTATAAGCAAGAGTCCATTACTACTTGTCGAAATATAGCTCCTACTAATTACATTACACGGATACGTAATAGGCGAGGATCAATCGAACGTTTCTTGGCCGCATTTTGAGACGAGATTTGTCGCGTCAACTCACAAACGATCGTCTCACAGAAATTAATTTATCAGGCAGGCCATAAATTGGCAATTATAAGTATCGCGTATTATCGAGAACGATATCTAAATGACGCGACTAAGACCTTCTCTCTTTTAACTCCAAAAACAACGTTCGTTAAACCGACAGTTTCACTCGCGCGGTTTCCCTCTTTCGCCAAATCTATCGCAGATTTGATTCAGGACGTTTTTGGAATCCCTTCGTATTCACCGCATCGCGTTCATTACATCGAGTGCCGTTCACTCTCGCCCAACAGACGGCAACCTCGACGACGATGACGAGGACGGCGTGGTGATAAAAATTTAACCAGGTAAAACATCGGTGTACCGCAGAAACGCTCTCGTACATAATTTCGTATTCCCGCGTTTGCGCTCGCTGATGAAAGTCTCGCAATTACGACACGAAACTTCAAGGAGTGCGCGAGATGCACCTGCTCTTACCTCTGTCAATCGCATTGCCAGTAAAATTTCCAGCAAACGCTATTTACGTTAATACAGTTTGTTAATACTACTTGATGCTATCTGAAATATTTGTAATCATCAAGTCATCTCGCGCAGGCCGGTTTTTACCTGCCCTCCTCCATTGTGAAATAAATACGAGGTTAATTCGAACGAAATCGAGGCTTTGAATAGTAAATTATTTCCGTGAAAATACGCGACTAAGACCCTCTCCAGCTCTCTCTCTCTTTCTCTCTCTCTCTCTCCCTCCGTTAATTAAGGCTGATTTAATTCCCGATTTCAAGTATGCAATTAAATAATGTTATCGTACATACCACACGCGTATCGCGCGCCACGTGGCGAAGTTAATTTATTAAATTTATTAAACGAACTTTCCAGGATTCGATAAACAGTTCTGTTCATATATTGTAACTAAAGCGAGAGACGATCTGTGATGTCATACGCGCAGATATCTATTGTTTGGTTTAGGAAACCGTCAAGATCACGTCAACACGTTGAGAAAAAAGGCAGAGAAAAAGAAAAGAAATATTCAAACTACAGATGTCCGAAGGTGAAAAGGATTATTTATCAAATGTCAAGATTTTCATGTGCCTGTCTCTGCCAATGTAGAACTTCGATCGAGTTCAGAAGTGACTCTTCATTTTTTTTCTTATTTTTAGAATTACTAGAAAAAGATGAAGAGTTAGTTAAACGAAGATTAAAATTAAACAATATTGGATAATAAGGCATCGAAGAAATAAATCGAAATAAGTCAATAATGCAAGCCATCAATATACGTCAACACTGGACGGATGAAAAACGTTAAAATTAAAACTACATTGACAGAAATGATCATCGCAAACCGGCGGAATTTCGGCTCGGATTTCGCCGGACGTCGAGTCCGTGCTCGCGACGCGAGAAAAGTAGAAGGACACCGGAAGAGACACGTCTCAGGGCGGAAACATCGCATGGCCAGCCGATCGACATGGCAAGAATCGCATCTGTCGGAATAACGCCGGTACGTGAACGATACGGAGACGATTGGATTTGGAGGATATGCTCACCCGCTCTCGAAGATGTCCTTCTCTTTGTCGTTGCTCTTCCTTTCTGTCCGGTCGCGACGCTGCACCGCACGCGCATTCGAATCGGCAGCGAGCCGATCGTTCGCAACACTCCGTGACGCGCTATCGGCCAACTATCGCGAGTGGAAAAGTGCTTTGGCACCGTCGCGACAGATACCGCCATTTTCCGAACGCGCACCGCGCACGCCACGGCCCGCGTGTCGCCATCTTGATAGTAAAAGGGAAAAAGAGATGAGTCTGTAATCTACATGTAACATCTATCGATACTCCAGATTACTGTAAAATCTGAAGAAATTTTGAGAAACTTAAAATGTCTATTATGGTCAAAGCTGGATCTTCATTGCTTAAAATAATTCAATCTTGAATTACTAATAAACACTATATATGTACTTGCATATATACCATGTTGTAGTATTTTTTGAACTGCCCGTCGAATTGTTTTTCTGGACTGTAAACGCAATTAAAATAGTAATCGCGAACTAAATTGACAAGCGATTTTAATGATTTGATGCTACAATCAAGCATCATGTTATGAAGATGTTAATATATTGAAAAACTGTTAATAAATTTATTGCGAAAAATATTACGGGTTCAAGTCTCGGCCGAGGTAATATTTTTCGCAATAAATTTATTATATAATTTAACATTTATAATTTAACAGTTTTTCAATATATCAACATTTTTACAATATGATGCTTGATTGTAGCATCAAATTATTAAAATTGTTTGTCAATTTAGTTAGCGATTACTAGAGTAGGTTTAATTGCGTTTATAGTCCGGAAAAACAATTCGACGCGCAGTTTGAAAAAGACTACAATATGGTATGTATGTAAGTACATATATAGTGTATATAAATAATTCAAGATTGAATTATTTTAAGCAATGAAGATCCAGCTTTGACCGTAATAGGCATTTTAAATTTCTCGTATTGATTGTACTTCTTACATATGCGATCTAAAATAAAGATTCTTAATACTGAAGAATATAATTTTATTGTAATTATTTGTTAAATGTAAACCAACTGATAATCAAGACTACCAGCATGTTTGAGCACGGTGTTGTTATGTCAGTGCAATTAATATTAATATAGTTTGTTTTTATATTTCCCTCTTTTTATCATTGATTTCAATACATTAAATTTGAATAAATATAAATATTTTAATTATATAATTACATATATGTGTAATATTGTAACTGAGTTTTTATTATTTATTTTTTATTTTTTTATTATATAATTTTACTTTTCTTTTTTTGTAATTTTTTTTTGTTATTTATTCTTTTAATTGTGTGACTTTTTAAAGAAATGTGTTGACTCTTACTTTGCCCTTTATTTATTATTATTTATTTAATATTGTATATGAATCTTATATTCTTCCAGAAAGTCTAAAAGTTATATACAGATAAGTACAGTCTTGGCTAAAAATATTAAACACCTTATATTAATCATTACTTAAAGTTTTTGGTCAAAATTTGATGGCATTTACCACAAATTTTTATTTGATTAAAAAATCCTTTTAATTTATGTATAATGCCAAAACAATACAGGTAACAGCTGAATTCCAGACAAATGACAAAAATATAATTAGTGCCTAGTATTTTTGGTGAAGGCTGTACATGATGTACCTATAAATGTGAACAATCGATTAGTATTCATATTGAAATTGACTGATAATTGTGTTGTTTTAATATACTTACGAATTTTTAGAGTAATTGACAATTAACTTCTAGAATATATATTCTATATACATATATGTTAATAGAGTATATATATTTTTGTCAACGAATTCATATTTAACAGATAAAAATACGTCAAAAATAACTACTCATATTTGCGTTGCAAAAAAAAGATCAAATTTTGTTGGACTGTGTTATCTCTAATTGTTCAAAGAATGATAACGAATGATTATAATGTAACAAAACAAGGAATTCACTTGTGACCTTTTCGTACAAATAACCGCATGCAATGATGATGCAACTGGTCATGTTCCGATATACATACACTGCCAGTACTGAAAATTTACGGTACATGTAACATGATGAACTAGATTTTCAATATCATAGCATTGTATATCGAAACATAGCCTATTTTATGATAGCAACATATTATATGTCGTAAGAACAATTTCCATTTACAATAATTTATTGTCAATAGATATTCAAAATAATCAATGGTTTATAATTAATAAATTTTATTAATAAAATATACGTATACATATACACTCTATTTATATAAAAATATGTATCATATCAAATGTAATATTTCTTGCATTTAAACTAGTACATCACGCGCGATATGTGAGTTGTCATTGCACATTGTAAACGCTATTAATAAAAAAAATATTTAAGTAAATCAAATTATTATTGTTACTTTATATCAACAAAGTTGTTTGCATTCTGAAAAAAATTATATTATTTTAATAAATTACAAATTTTTTTTGTAATTTAAAAAAATTTATCACAAAATTATGCACGATAATGAAATTCAACTGTTAATTAATGCAACTGAGCTGTAATTATTAGATACAAATATATATCTAAATACAACTCGCGCAATTTCTATAACTGCAATACGAATCTTTTATAATTACTATTGTTTTAAGAAATAATAAGTAATGATTCAATATACGCCGAATTTAATTTTCGTAATCATGTAGGTATCGAATTTTCAATAATTTTAAAGAAAAATGTATGAATTAAAAAATTAAAAGATTGAAAATGATAATTCCTCTAGAAATTCTCTTTAAAAATCTCTTTTTATCTTTTAATTTTTTAAATCTAAGTATTCATTTTTAAACAACGCAAATGCATTAAGTACTGAGTAGACTAACAATAAGCGTTAGATGTTTAAGTGGGGATGGCATGATAAAAACGTCAATGAGTCGGTGAAAACCGCATTTGGATAGTGACATTAATGTAGTATTGTCTTAGTATATTTTTATTTTATTATTACTGTTCGAGTACTATGATATTTTTAAGTATTGTATTAATAACTTTGGCATATGTTGCTATAAGATACTACATTCGGAATTATTGTCATCTGACATACGTTACAAGTGAAAACATTCTGCCAGGCCCGAAAAAATATATGACAAAGTATCTTCATGGGAATCCTGACGGTAAGAACACACATAATAATATGCTTGACTTATTAAAAAAAAGTACTTTTTTTAAATTAGCATAAAAAAGAAAGAAAAAGAATTTTCAAGACATTAAAGTTTATGATAAAAAGTACTTTTAGTTTGATATAAATTAAAGATGGAGTGGAATTCTACATCAACAAATTTTAGTTTATTCAATACTCGAACATTATTTTATTAGACTATTTCATGAAAATCATGAATACCTCTAAATACTCTAATAAATACTCTAATGCGCACTAGCAGTCCATATTAAAGCCGTTGTAAACTAATTTAATTTGTAAGTATAAAATGCAAATGTTTTAATTATAAAATACAGATTTTACTTAACAGCACAATAAAATGTAGTTGAGAATTTTATCGTTTAATCTGTTTTTATATTTATATTAAACACATATTTTTATGTCAATTTGTGTACAACACTTTATAATGTGCATCCAATCGAATTCGCCATTAAATATAATAATAAATTATTTCTGTTGCTTTATTTATTGAAAAGTATTGAAATAAAAGGAAATCAAAGATTAAATATTAAGAAATCATATTAGGGCTGTACATATTATTGCATGTATTATTGCATTATACACTCTAGGCTAGATATCAAACTGCTTCTCGAGGAAATGGACTGCAACGTTTACAAAACGTTGGCGTTCCAAGAATAGATATAGACACACGGAGATAACTTGTAGCTTTTATATATTATACATTATAAAAGAATACATCAAAATGTAAATATTTTATTTAAAAAAAAACATAAGATACATTTTCATTTTGTAGAATATTCATTTTTTTTTATACCTACGTGAAACGATTTCCTGCTGAACAAATTAATAGCTATAATTGTTGCCAAGCGTCAAATTGCATTAGAATTGATAACAAAGTCATTTGTTAAGTTCGTGTTTTTTAAGCAAAATCTGCATACATAATTAGATAGCAAATTGGCATTAAAAATCGAAAAAAACTTTGATCGGTTTTAATCTTTTTTTTTCCGTTTGCAATTTGTTGTCAGTAAACTTTGCACAATTTTGCCGATAATTTGATCTCATGTTGTGTTAGCAGATTTTATTGTAGGTATATTGCTATCAATTTATTAACATTAATAAATATAACAGAATTTGCACCAAATTTGTTTTCAATGGACTATTTTAAATAATTAACTGAGTGGGTACTTTAAACAATCTTAAATATAAGAATACTAAAAATGCCGGTCATAATTTTATTTTCAATAATAATATACAGACAAATAACATTATAAAAATATATTTTGAGGATAAAAAGATATAAAAAGATATAATTAATTTTTAGAGTTACTAAATATTTTATATATACTTGGAAAGTATTTTTCATCCCCATTCCAACTAGTGAAAAGGTTTGTTGTAGTATACGAACCAAATCAAATAAAGGTAAATGAATATCGTTTTTATTTTATTAACACATGCATTAATTATTTAATTAACAAATGTACGCAAGCAACATATACAAGGTATCCCGAAATTCGAGGACAATATTATTACAGCGCACAGCGTAAAATTTCGTGAAAAATTAAATTGAAAAATCCTCTACTATTTTGCAATTTTCACAATAGTTGACAAAATATTAATTATTAAATATCGCTGAATATTGGTTTTCAATAATTTTTTACTATTAAATATTATCAACTTTACAGCAAAAAACAAAAATTAATTTTTTTTCTGATAAAGCTCTAAGAATTTTTCAGAATTTTTTATTAACTTTTCAGTACTGCATTTTCTAATTGGAAAATTGCGAAAATTGCAAAAATTACAAAATAGTAGAGGACTTTTTGACTTAATTTTTCATGAAGTTTCACGCTGTAATAAAATACTGTCTTTGAATTTCGGGACATCCAGTATATATAATAAAAATGTTAATGTATAACTTTGCAGACTGTCCTAAAAAGCCGACATTGCTTAGACAAAAATATAATATTCTATAAATTTGCAGAAGAAATATTTGGCACAAAATTATTAACAGCTTCTGGTAAAGTATATTTGGAAGGATAAAACTACTAAATTTATGTAAGGAAGTGGAAGCATGCTATAACTATTTTATAATCGTTTATATATCACAAGTTTTATGTTATATTTAATCTTGTTATGGAAACTTATTTTTTATTTGTACTTTTATGTATTTGTGCTTTTACTTTATGATATTTTAATATTTATATTTTAATAGTAATGGAATCTTTTGAAGCAGCTTTTCTTATTAAATTTTTTTTTAATACGGTTAGTTAATCATTTTGCTTTTTACTATGTATTATAATAGAAAAATATTCCTTGTTTTAGAATCTATATGGAATCAAAATCGAAAAAGAATAGCTCCAGGCTTTAGTCTGAATATGTTGCAAAGATTTTTTAATACATTTGTTGAAGAATCTTTAATGTTGACGAACAAATTAGAAAAAGTTGGAATAAATGAAAACGAAATTATCTTCCTTGAACATATAGCAACATGTGCTTTAGACATTGCATGTAGTAAGAACATGCAATTTGTTTTACTTCTAAATTATCTACATGTTGTAAAGACCCATTCATGAAAAGCTAGTCATTCATGTTTGTTCTCAGTTCCGTTTCATCTGGATCTAGTTCAAACGAATAATTAGCATCATAAAAATTTGAAAAAATTGGAAATTTTATGATAAATTAATGATAACTGCTAATTTATTTCATTAATTATATAACTATAAATATCAGCAACTTAAAAAAAATTTTAAAGAATACTTATGCAAGAATATGCAAATTTTAAAACAAAAGCTTATTTTAATTATTTGTAATCATCATCTGTATGAAGTTTATTAATGGGTATCTATTAATGATTATTTTAATTACTATAAGTTTGTTACAACTTTAGATATTTTAATGAGATTTGTAAAATGTTATAAGAAACCTATATCAGAATATGATGTAGTAATCAAAATTATAATGTTACGTTAGTTATGTATTAATTAAAACAAACAAAATGGTTAAAATAATGAGATAAATTAATTTATGCGAATTTTTATTATTTTCTCAATTATATACTTTCACCTACTGGGTGCCAATTTATTAAATTCTTTTTGTAAATTAATATTTCAAACAACAAACTTTCTTTTCATGTTTAAAGGCACTATAATGGGCACCAAAATGGAATCAAATAAAAAAGATCAATATTTCAAAACAATTGTGAGGTATGTTGTGTCTTACTTAATAATCACGATTGATAAAATATTTTTTCTATATACACA